ACTGCCTGACTCCATTCTTAGGAGGATACTCTTCACTGCAATCCCTGAGGGCCCCCTAAGTGAGCATGCACTACAGTAGTTGTTCATTTTTGTCTCACACCTACATACTAATTGACCTGTCCATGAACAAAACAGCATTTTTCCTCCTGTCAACTAGTCATAGGAGCCCTCCATGTCATCTGTGGAGGGCTGACTCCAGGATGGCCCCATGATCCCCACCTCCGGGTGTTCACTGTCTTGGGTAATCCCCTTCCCTTCAGTGTAGGCAAGTCCAATGACTTGCTTCTATCAGTGGACTATGGCAAAGATGATGGGGTGCACATGTGTATGTGTACTTGATACACTATATAAGATTGTAACACCAACCTTGCAAGGACACTCCACGTGCCTGTTTGCTGTGAAGAAGCAAGTGGCCATGTTATGAGCTACTACATGGAAAGGGATGTGTGACAAGGAGCTGAAGGGGGCCTCTGGCTAAGAGCCAACAAGAAGATAAACCCCTCAGTGTGGCAGTCTGCAGGGAAGTGGATTCTAATAATAACTACATGGGGCTGGAAGTGAATCTGTCCCCAGCTGGTGCTCAGACGATGTCACAGTCTTGATTACAATGCTCAGATAAAATCAATGCCTTGATTACAGCTTTGTGAAAACCCAAAGAGAAGGAAGGACCCAGTTATGCCCCAGGTGCTGACCCACAAAAACTGTGAAATAGTATGTGTTGTCTGAAGTTGCTAAATTTGTAGGAACACTGTTATTCAGCCAGAAATGTGAGCTGAAAGAGAGGCACTGGTATAGCATGGTAGGTGACATGGGAGCCTGGGCCACTTGCTCATGCAGGTCCCTGTGCATTGCTGTTCCCAGGCTTCCCACTTCCATTTTGTGATGGAATGCTGGTAGTTCCTCCCAACCTTGGTGAATTTGACAGACCCCAGCTCCTGGACATTTGGTCACTTAATGTCCCCCTAGTTAGCTACTTAATCTATACCAGGGCTCAGTAGCACATGGGGATCTCTTCTCCAAATGATTGTCTGCCGCAGATGGCCCAGATCTATATCAAGACCCCGGGGCTTTATGTCATGCTTCTACTCTTCTCCACATGACATCTTTTCTCACTGATATCAGAGAGTCTACCTGGTCGTACAGCCCACTGATCATACTGCCCACGTCTCTGTGATGCTTGCACGTTAGCCCGGATCTGCTGGCAATTTTCCTTGTTACTAAGTCAATAAGGGAGAGCAGTACTTCTAAATATGAAATATGCTGCCCCCAGAAACCAAGAGGACTGCCAGGCATTGTGCTTTTTTCTTAGCCGTGGGAGATAATAATTTGCCCTAATTTGCTGGGAATGGGAGAGTATGTCCCAGCTTGCACCAAACCACTGGATCCCTAAGAATGTCCCTGATGTGGTGATCCCCTGAATCATTTAGCTTTTTTTCTGTCCTCTGGCTTGCATATCTTACCCAATCCTCCACTATATCTGCCATTTCTTGTTCACCTGATCATTAATATAATACACGAATGTGCTTTTTTGCAAAATGTCCAGATGGTCCAGGTCCTTAAGCCTATGTTCTAGGAAAGGGCAGATATAACATGGCTCAAAGGCAACACTGTGAATGTATACTTGTCCTGTCCTATGTGAATGTGAACTACTCTGATCATCGAGGATTGAAAAGAATACATCTATGAGCTGGATGGCCATATAACTTTGTATCCAAGGCCATTTTTAATGCGGTCTAGCAAAGATACCATATCTGGCTCATAGCTGCAGTTAGGCGGCTACTATTTGGTTGACTTTACGGTGATCCACTGTTACCCCCAGGATACACTTAGTGTTTGTAGAAGACATACTGTGTTAATGGAAGTGGCCTGTGATGAGGACCACCATTCCTGCCTACTTCAGGTATTTCAGGGTAGCGCTAAAATCTGCCATATGCCTTCTTATGGTGGTGTTTTTTATTTACTCTCTTGGCTGGGAGGGGTAGAATGGTTTCACAGGACTCTACTTGACATTCTCCACTGGATAGCCCTCACCCCACAGGCCAAGAAACCAATGTGTGTTCTGCCAATACCTGAGCGTGGCCATTCCGTTATTCCTTTGGGAACCAGGGAAATTACCAGCAGATGACTGTGTGGAGCAGGGTGAACCTACCATGAGTCAGACCTGAGAAAGAACTCCATTTATTACCCTATGCTTTACCCACCCCACTCCCAAGAGGGGAGTTATGAAGATGCTTTGGGTCCCTTGATATCTCAACTCAGATATCCATGTATCCAACACTCCTTGAAAGGTTTTGTATTCCTCTTTCCTTCAGTGTATAGTTATATGAGTAAAAGTCTTTGGAAAAGGACTAAGGAAATCATTACCTCAATTTTTTTTTTCTTTTGCCATGGTGTTTCCAGGGTTTTTTCATGACATACTCTGTCAGTAGAAAACTGACAGCTCAGGTCTGGGAACTGGGAAAGTGATTCAAGACTTTTATTGTTGTGGCTGTGGTCAGCCTCCTGATCATCCATATTAGATTTATTTTGATTCTGTAGACTCAGCAATACTCTCATTTGCTGTTCGTCTATCATGTCTCTCGGGATGCTATGCTGTATTAACCCCTTCCCTAGCTCTCGATGAGTCAGACCTCTCTGACTGCCCCTGACATTGCCACTCATGATAACAGTTATACCTGGCTTACTTTTGAAGGTTAAGTATTGTCATCTGGCCTCTGTTTGGGGAGTCTATTGTCCCCAATGCTATCAAAAAGACCCTACTTTGTCCTAACATCTCCTACCAGTGGCCTTGGCCTATGGAGGACAGCCCACCATTGAGTTTCTTATTCTTTTTTAAGATTTTATTTATTTATTTGACAGACAGAGACACAGTGAGAGAGAAAACACAGGCAGGGGGAGTGGGAGAGGGAGAAGCAGACTTCCTGCTGAGCAGGAAGCCCACTGTGGAGCTCTATCCCAGGACCCTGGGATCATGACCTGAGCCAAAGGCAGAGGCTGTAACCCACTGAGCCATCCAGGCGCCCCTATCATTTAGATTCTTAATACTGGAGCTCCACTCATCAGCACATCCCTTGTCACTTTGGACAAGAACACTGTATCCTAAGAACAGAGGAGGCTAGCAGCTTTTTGACCTTATGTAGTATATCCCAGTCAAGTGTCTGATTTCTTCCCACAGTGCTTAACACTGCACGGCATTTCTACTTAGAATGGGTCCCTGCTTTCTCCAAGTTTCCAAGGGACAACCAACTACTATCACCTGAACTCTTTGGCAGGATATTAAACCCCACATCACAGGTTTTTCTCTCTTTTCCATCCAGTGCAGTACCATATATGCTCTTCCGCTTGGTCAATCAGTTTGTGTTACCCAGTTCCGCAGCTCCTTTAGCATATAGACCTTTCCTACCACTAGCGGGCCCTGCGTTTCTTTGACCTCAATATAGCTCTGGTAGTGGGGAGTGAAGAGTAGGGTAGACTGTTGAGCGGTAAGGGGAGATACGTGTTGTGTTACAAGGCAGAAACTTCTGCATCATCAAACTTATACATACATCCACAAGAGAAAAGCATCAGCCTTTAACAGGGAAGAATGGGCTACTTAAATATGGAAACTTAAGATTTTCGTTGTTCTTTTTAAATTTTATTTGTCAGAGAGAGAGAGAGTGCAAGCACAGGCAGGGAGAGCAGCAGGCAGAGGGAGAAGCAGGCTTCCCGCTGAGCAGGAAGCCCGATGTGGGGCTCCATCCCAGGACCCTGGGATCATGATCTGAGCAGAAGGCAGAGGCTTAACCCACTGAGCCACCCAGGTGTCCCGGAAACTTAAGATTTTCAAATGCATTAACCCAGATGACCCTATTTCAAGTCTCAGCTTTTTCCAATGAGGACTTTGACCTTGGTGTCACAAGCTTTGTTAAAAGAGAAATGAATAAACATGTAAAATTAACAATATCATGTTGAGCTTATACCAAACAAAATTTATAGTCACTCATTTGGAGAAGACCCAGATCACCCTTATGGGCTAGGGAAAAGGTCTGCAGCAGAGATAACATTTTAAAAAGGTCAGATTTCAGTAAGATTTAAGAAAAATTCAGAACTGATGTAAGACATAGGTAAAGATAAAAAGGGAGTCTTCAAATTTGCCTGGAGGCCACAGGGCATGTGATGTTAAACATTATTATCAATCTTTTCATTTTTATTGAGCGTCTGCACCACCAGATTTCTGGGCAGAGTTCTGGGATTAGAAAAAGACCAGTAGCGTATGCCCGGGTGCTCCCTCTCACCAATGGCCCATCAGTAATACAGGTATAAGCCAAATGCGTTCAAAAGGGCAAAGACGGCAAAGACGGCGCCGTCAGACGTCTCTCCCTTTAAAGCACAGTTTGCCACGCAACGACGACCCCGGAGGCAGAGGACAGGATTATCATCAGGGTTGCCCTCTCCTGGCGAGGGACCCACTCCACCTTCCCCATTCCCAGTCTTTCTTTGGGGGTGAAGGAGGTTGTTAGCCGAACTGTGTCGCCGAAGAAAATCTGGAAGACGCCCCAGGGCTACCAATGAAGTTCGCCCTCCGAAGACAGCGGGACCGCAAGAGGAGCACGCCTCTCCCGCCCCCCACGTAGGGAGACAGCCGCAGGCCCTTCCACGCCCACGTTCGCTGAGCACGCCGGGTCCGTAGTCCCGGCGGCTCCTCCGCGTCGGTCAAGTTCAGAGCTCCCTTGTCCCGCGGCCTCCAGTCGGAGGGATGCACGAGACCAGCTGCAACTTTATTTACCCCTCCTAAGTCATTCTCGCTCCAGTCTAGGTGTCCCTAAAGCCCGTCTCACCTGTGCACAGAACACGGAGCTCGAGCCAGCGTCTCCGCGCCCCGGAAGCGCGCCCGACGGGCCGGAAGTGACGCGCTCCATGCCCGCGTATTCCCGCCCTGCTTTTCGCCCGCTTCTCGGTGGCGGGAACCGGGGCGACCGTGCTCGTGGCGGCTAATGTAAGTGTCGCCCGGTGTGGCGGCTCGGGGCTTCCTAGGCCCGAGAGTCTCACACTTGGGAACGGAGCTAAGACTTGGCGACCACCCCACCTTTTCTCTGTCCCTGAAGCTCTGGGGACGAGCCGGCAGCGTCCAATCTCGGGAGACAAGAGGCTGAAAGGCCCAGGCAGTGCCCGGGAGTACGGGGAGCTGGGGATAACAGGTGATCAGCCGGAGGAATTGTGAGGGTAGCCTTCGCTCTCCTCAGCTCCTGCGCCCTCGATGCCCCTGCGGTGTCTCCCCACTCGTTCGCGAAAATGGTAGCTCTGTGCAGCATCTTTCAGAGCCCTGTTTTGGGCGGTAGTCCTCTTAAGTAATTACTGCATCCTGTGGCAGGGATGGGTGATCCAACTACGTTAAAAAGCTTGGCTGTTTACAGCTGTTAGCCATTCATTTATTGAGTATCCAAATCCAAGCACGAAAGTGTGTGTGCCCAGGGGTGTGCTTCGTGTGTGTGTGTGTGTGTGTGTGTGTGTGTGTGTGTGTGTGTGTGTGTTTTAAATAAAGTGGAGTCTAATTGACATACAAATAAGTTTCAGGTGTACAACAGTTATTAGACGTTTGTGAAATTATTTAGTATATACCCTATGCTGTACATTATATTCTGTGACTTACTTATTTTATAACTGAAAGTTTGTACTTCTTCACTCCTTTCCTCCTTTTTGCCCCGTCGCTTCTGACAAGCACCAGTTTGTTCTATGTATCTATGAGTCTGGGTTTTTGTCCGCTTTGTTTTTTAGATTACACGTGTAAGTGAAACCATGCAGTGTTTGTCCTTCTGACTTGTCTATTTCATTAGTATAATACCTGCAAGGTCCATCCATGTTGCCACAAATGGCAAGATTTCATTTTTTTTATGGCTTAACATGTGTGTATCACATCGTTATCCATTCATCCATTGATGAACACTTCGATTGTCTCCATAACTTGCCTTTTGTAGTGTTGCATTGAACATAGGGGTGCATATGTCTTTTTGAATTAATGATTTTAGGTTTGGTTTTATTCTTTTTTCTGGATAGATACCCAGTAGTGGAACTGCTGGATCATATGGTAACTCTTTTTAGTATTTTGAGGAAACTCCATATTGAGGAAATTGTTTCTCATAGTGTCTGCACCAATTTACATCCCCACCAACAGTGCATGAGGGCTTTCACAATTCTTTTATTTAACTTTTATTGATTTAATCTTTTATTAGATGTCTTACTGAATGGGCCCTACCTCCTTTTACAGCGCGGGAAGCTGAGTCTTATAAATGGTAATTCAGTCACCAGATGATATGGAACATCTGTTGTGTACTAGTTACTGCTCGTGCCACTGGGGAAAGGCAGTGAAAAAAGTAGAATTGCCACAGATGCCAGGGATTTTCAGGCAAGCTCATGATACTTTTCTGTCCCTAAAACAGCCTTCTGCTGCCTGGAAGAAAGTTTACATGAGTGTTTTTTGTTGTTTTGTTTTGTTTAGTTTTTTTTTTTTGTTTGTTTGTTTGTTTTTTAATTTATTTGGCAGAGAGGGAGACAGCTAGAGAGGGAACACAAGCAGGGGGAGTGGGACAGGCAGAAGCAGGCTACTCAGAGCAAGGAGCCAGATGCAGGGCTTAGATCCTGGAACCCTGAGATCATGTCCTGAGCTGAAGGCAGACGCTTAAGGACTGAGCCACCCAGACGCCCCTGCATGAGTGTTAATAGTAGTTATCTTTTGGGTGAGATTTTGTATGCCTTTTTAAAACAACTCATACTTGTTCTCTTTGTTTTGAATTCTTCCAATGAGCATGTTACTAACAAAAGAGCTGTTTTCATTTTAACAGAACAATCCCCAGCCCAACCCTCCCCCCAGAACATGTTCTGAAGGCAGTATTGGCTCTATCAGTAAAACAGGCCCTTGAGTGGAGCTCTTGGTCCAGAAAAAGAAATGGAAGTTCTTATTTGTGGTCCCAGCACTCCTCATTGCTTAGTCCATTCCAGGGTCTGAGCTAGAGCTAGGTCCATGACTGGAATGGAAGAGACTGTAGAAGCCCACGGACAGTTTGGTCACTAATGACATATTTGTCAAAAAGTGTGGAACTCTTAAAAAATTTTCAGTCGTAAGATTTATCTTTGATCTGTAACTCTCACAATAAATAGATTCTAAGTTCCTTAAGCACTTTGGCCTCTTTAATTGTCCCTGTAGCTCTCAGTACAAAACATTTAGAGGATGCTAGGTCATGAGGTGATGACCTTTATTTGGTAAGTAATTGTTGGAATATTTTGCACAAGGTTAAGTGTGCTAGATGTGCTTTCTTGAATGATTTCAAAAGAACTTTTCCTTTTCTGTCTTAATTCTGGTCAGGGTGAAGTAACCATGCAGGCTTTTCTAAAAGGCACATCTGTTAGTACTAAACCACCGCTGAAGGATCGAGGAGTAGCTGCCACAGTTGGAAGCAGTGGAGAGAACAAGAAAACCAAACCTGTCCCATGGGTGGAAAAATAGTAAGAATGCTTGTATTTTTCTTGACATAGTTAATAAATTATTTCTCTAACCAGTTTTTAGTCACTTTTTTTGTTGCTGTTACTTAAGAGGAGGATGATTTACTTTGTTTAGATGTCCTTGGAAATCACCCCAAAATGTTAAGTCCTAAAACCTTGTAACTAAAAGTACCATCAAATGATCTAGCTTAATTATTTTAAAGATGAACAAAGGTCTTTCCTATAACTCAGGCTTTACGGATTAAGATATAGCAAGAGAAAACAGAATTTAGAATGTGGCCATAAGCTCTTGGTCAGGAGTTCAACGTAAGTCCAAATAATCTGTTACCTCTTTCATTACAGACGAGTGGAAATTGTTGAGTTTTGCTTATACATTTCTGGCAAAAACACTTGAAGTGGCTAATTAAATTTCAGTCAGCTAAGTGATAATATGACAAGTAGTTGTAACCCCTGGTGTTGCCTCAATTATTATCAGAAGTTTGTGGCTTATGTACAGGTCAAATAAGACCCTCATGTGTTTTGTTTGGCACCAAAAATGATTTTTAAAATACGAAATTTCACATAAAAATCTAGATTTTTAATTAAAAAAATAAATTATACAAAGGGAAAAAAAGTAGATTTTTCAGCTTCTCAAGAGATTAGGCAGAACTAGATGCAGGTTCTCACTTGACAACAGTTAGATGGATCTGAGTACTGCTTCTCATTCTGGAAAGGTCATATGTTCCTCAGTTTACCATAGTTCCTTCTGTTTTCTCTTGCCTTATACTCTGCCTTCTTTTACTCTTGTTTTCTCCCTGGCCCCTGCAGGTATTTGAATCTGAAACCCTAGTTTATAACTTACACTGGTTTCCTTAGAAAACATTATCTGACCTAAAATTCCTACCTGGCATTGACTTGATTGATTAGAAATGTATAAATCAAAGAAGAGCTTCTGGCTAGCTAAGTAAGCACAATACCTATCTTGGGATTAGGAGTGGAAATTTGTTCCAGCTTCTCTTAAAATCACCAGTTTAATGTTGTAAGATGAAAAATGTATGTTATTATTCTTCATCTTGGTTAAACTTGTTACTTAGTTAGCCCTCAATCAAGTCACTAGATAGGCATTTTTTGTGCAGTTAGGTGATGGATGAAATTGGTATTAATCAATTAACTGTATTAACCAAAATAGTTGCCTATCCTGAGGTTATTAAATGGTTCTTCCTTTTCAGCTTAAATGCATGATCTTGTCAAAATACAGTACTTTCTAGGCAAGTGTTCACTTTAAATTTTTCACCAGTTGACATCTGTGGTGCAATAAAATCTTTTTGCTTAATTTTTGTAAGTATTATAGATGCAAATTGCATTTATAAAGAGAAAAATGACTTCACTACTTCAGTATGTATTACCTTAAGGTAAATATAAATGGTGTTTCCACCTGCTTCCAGTTATGAAAGTTTCTCATTTTATTACCAATATATGAGAATTATCTTGATGTTTTAGTTAAAAGAACACTTAAGACATTTCTGTGGCTACTATAATATGCTAAATAATCTCTGGGCTTTTTTCCAGTCGCCCAAAATGTGTGGATGAAGTTGCTTTCCAGGAAGAAGTGGTTGCAGTGCTAAAAAAGTCTTTAGAAGGAGCTGATGTGAGTGGCAGATGATGTTTCATGTCATTGGGAGATTTAAGTTTTAATTTACTCATTCTTTTCCTTCCTTTGATAATCAAATGCCTGCCCCCCCTTAAATACTAGCTGTATATACAGTAGGCCTTTGATAACTATTTGTACAATGATAATGAGTTCAACAATTATTTACTGAAGAATTATTTACTTAGGGCATTGTTATGTAGTACTTAAGTAGAGACCATTGAATAAGACATACAGGGTTTCTTTTCTCGTGAACTTTGATTTTTGGTGGGGAGAAGCAGAATACATGTGGAAGCCCAATAAATAAGAAAATAATAGATAATAATATGTGCTATAAAGAAGAGTCAGATTCTTTGAAAGTATAATTGCTCACCTAATGTTGGGATTTGGTTTGAACTACAATACAAAAAAATGAGTATTTAATTCTGGTTATAGCATTGTGTCTCCTGCTGTCCAAATGTGGCATAAAAAAAACTCTTGAATGACTTGCATTGTAGAAGAGTTAGAGACAAGATAACCCTTTCAGAAGAATTAGCAGCTTAAAATTATATATGATGAATTGCTTTAAGAGCTCAATGAAAGAAGGGGAAAAGTTGAGATAAAAGTAAGGTGTGGTTTTTGCTTTATTCCCAAGGAAGATTTGCTTCCTTCCTTTCAACCTGGCTACTTTGAATTAGAGGTTCTTTGGGCTTTTGCTGCCATTATTCACTTCCTGGAATTACACTATAATAGTACATATTTTGAAAGAAGTTATATTTATTAAACTATTTAAAATCCTTTTTTGGGGTGCCTGGGCAGCTCAGTCCGTTAAATGGCTGCCTTCAGCTTGGGTCATGATCCCTGGGATTGAGCCCTGCTTCGGGCTCCCTGCTCAGTGGAGAGCCTGCTTCTCCCTCTCTCTCTTCCTGCCACTCTTCCTACTTGTGCATGCTCTCTCTCTCTCTCTCTCTCTGTCAAATAAATAAAAATCTTATAAAAAAATAAAATCTTTTTTGGGGGGCGCCTGGGTGGCTCGGTCAGTTAGGCAGCTGCCTTCAACTCAGGTCATGATCCAAGGGTCCTGGGATCGAGCCCTGAATCGGACTCCCTGCTCAGCAGAGAGCCTGCTTCTCCCTCTCCTTCTGCCTGCCTCTGCCTACTTGTGATCTCTCTCTCTGTCAAATAAATAAATAAATCTTTAAAAAAAAATAATAAAATCTTTTTCTTTGCCAATTTTTGTTTTGATTTGATCCAAATATCTTTACATTTTGATTTTATAATATACAATTTAATTGTATAGTAATAATTACACAGATTACAGGACAAGATGTATTTTAATTGGTAGTATTCTGAACCCTTGAGGCAAATGTAGTGGGATTATGATCCTGTTCTTGACTATACCATCTATCTTACAAGGCTGAATTAAGAACTTTCTCTTTTAAAACACTTTCTTAATATGTTTCTTTTCAGACCTAGTTTTGTAAAACTTAAAGATGAACTAATTTTTTAAACTCTACAGAGTACAGAAAAATAATTTATTCTTTCATTTCCTTTAGTGTATGTGCTGCTGAAGTGAGCACTCTTTCATTTACATTAAAAGATTTTAAGGTAGAATTACAATAGATAATTTTCAGAAATCAATTTTAAGAACTAGTATTCCACATACAGTTCTTGAGTGTACCATATATATCACTGTTATATAATGTGAGCTTTAATAATTTTACCATGTTTTAAAGAATTTAAGTTACCATATGTGATAGTTATATGGATGAATTATTACAAATATTGAGGTATGCATGAATCAAAATAATAGTTAAAGATGAGGAAGCCTAGGAATTTTTTTTAATATAATTGGCATACCCAAACTGACTAGCCCAAAGCTACCAAAAGGAAGAAATAATAAAGATTAGAATGGAAATAAGTGAAATAGAGAAGAAGAAACAATAGAAAAGATCAGTGAAACCAAGAGCTGCTTCTTTGAGGGGCTTCTGGGTGGCTCAGTCTATTAAGCGTCTGCCTTCAGTTCAGATCATGACCCTAGGATCAAGCCCCACATCAGACTTCTGGCTCAGCAGGGAGCCTGCTTCTCCTTCTCCCCACCTCCCTGCTCATCCTCTCTCTTGCTCTCTTTCTCTCTCTCTCAAATAAATAAAATCTTAAAACAAAACCTAGATGGTTCTTTGAAAAGATAAACAAAATTGATAGATCTTTAAAACCAGATTCATCAAGAAAAAGAGAGGACTCAAAATCAGAAATGAAGGAAGAGAAATAGCAAATGACACCACAGAAATACAAAGAATTATAAGAGAATATTATGGAAAAGTATATACCAACAAGCTGGACAACCTAGAAGAAATGGATAAATTTCTAGAAACATACAATCTTCCAAAACTGAATCAGGAAGAAATAGAAAATTTGAATAGACTGATTATTAGTAATAAAATTGAATCGATAATCAAAAACTCCCAGCAGCCAAAAGCCAAGGACCAGGCGGCTTCACAGGTGAACTCAACTAAATATTTAAAGAAGAGTTAATACCTATTCTTCTCAAGCTATTCCAAAAAATAGAAGAGGAAGGAAAACTTCCAAATTTGTTCCATAAGGCCAACGTTACCCCGATACCAAAACCAGTCAAAAAGCTTAGGAGGTTCTTTGGTGTTTGTTTTTAAGTAGTGAAACTCCTAGCCTGTATCTTAAGCTGTATGCTATGTAACAGCATAATGTAATAGTCTTCAATTAATATATTTATCTGTATATTGGTTTATTTATTGGGCACATGTTGGGTACTACACAAGATGCTGAGAATACAATTGCAAATAGAACAAATAAGGTTCTTGACCGTAAGCTTACCATCTAGCGAGGTAGACAGGTATTTTATAATTAAACCAAAACACTAAAGAACAATAATTGCAAATTAATGTATATAAATAAATAATTGCAAGTTGAATTAAGTGCAACAAAGACTGACAAGAGAGTAACAGAGGAGTTCCACGTTAGACTGGGGGGTCAGGGAAGGCTTCTGACTTGTAATGCAGTAGAAGCTGGGGAAGCAGAAAAAAAGCAGTCAGACCCTAGCTCCTGGGGGACAGTATAGGCCGCAAAGTGCTTAGCTGGAGTTCATTGTACATCGGAGCCTGGAAAGGTGAGCAGATCATGGATGTCCATAAGGACAGGTTGGTTTTTGTTTGTCTGGTTTGGTTTTTCTGGGTGGAGTGTGAAAGCAGTGAATAGTCTTAAGTAGCAAGCAGGGTGGCATCTAATTTGGGTGAGGAGTGGATGGGAAGCTCGGGGGTGAGGCGAGAATGGAAGCAAGTAAACTGCCGCCTAGCGTCCCACGCGCAGTGTTGCTTTATGTGAGAGGACATACTGAGGAGTACGGTTTTATGACAGCTCAGTAGAATTTGGTACATTCATCAGTCTGTACCACAGATTAGTTGCCTGCTTGATAGGAGCCAAGCTAGTGAGATTTGAGGTAGAAAAGAAGGTAATTAGTGATTTACTCTTACCCTTTCTTCCTGTAATTAATTCTCCCTGATAGATGTGGGCTTCCCTACAGGGTATATAATCATGGAATAGAGTCCTGCCAGGCACTAAGTAAACTCTTTTTTTTTCCCCCTACTCTTGGAACATCAGCTCATCCAGAGCCCTGAGAAGTCTGTTTCATTCCTTTTCCCTCTGTATTAGCCAAGCTGAAGTTCTCCTTTGGTCTGTTTCCCCCTTGAAGCAATGGACATCTTTATAGAATAGAAAATCTTGCCCAATCCTGAGCAGATGGGTGGGATAGGGAACAGATAGAAGCGTGAGATTCCCTTCAGAAAAAAAGGGGTTTCGAGGTGCCCTGGCTCGCTTAGTCGGTGGAGCTTTGCACTCATGATCTCAGGGTTGTGAGTTCAAGCCCACGATGGGTGTAGAGATTACTTAAAAATGAAACCTTTTAAAAGAAGAAAGACAGGTTTCTAATTTGTACTGAAAACTTCACCTAGGTATATTGGGTATAGGACAGTCATAAATATTGCTTCAGCTTAAGATGTTAGACAGACATTTTTGGGGGGAAAGTATAGTATTATGTGAAAAAGCAGGATTCACAACTGCTAATAGTGTGCTACGGGTTATATTAAGAAATATTTGTAATCAGATATGTGCCCTATTAGAGGAGTTGTTGCACTGTTCCATAAAGATTTTCAGTCATCACTTTGATCTGTTTGTACCAGAATACAATTTTTAAAAAATAAAACTTAACTTCTACAGCTCCCTAATCTCTTGTTTTATGGGCCACCTGGAACTGGAAAAACATCCACTATTTTGGCAGCAGCTAGAGAGCTTTTTGGGTAAGTTGAAATCTCTCTTTTTTTAAAAGACTCGACACCAAAAATCTCTGCTTCTTTAACTTCTTTAACTAAACTTCTTTAACTAAAAGTTTGTATTTGGTTTCTCTGTAAGGTGATTATTTCTGTATTTTTTATTAATTCAGTGGGACCATTTCCAGTTCCTCCCATCCAGTACATAAGCTTGCTTACATCTTTTGTAAACTTCATTCTAGACCTTATTCAAACGTTTGAATGTACTACAACATAGGAAGCCTCATGATTTTTTTCATCACTTTAACTTTTTCAGTTTGATTTCGGAACCCAAAGACTCTGTCTTTAGTCATGCCAATACTTTCATCACTCCCTGAATAGCTATGTTCACATTTGTATCTTTGTGTGATAGGTTCTGCTGTGTCTCATGCTAATGACCCCACACCACTCCTTCTAGAGTTCTTTCTTGCTCTGGCCTCTCCAAGCTCTGCCTCAAGTGGCTAGGCCAGCTCCTTGCCCTCAAGTATCTTGAGTGTTAGCAGAGTATGTAGTGGTTGATGCAGAATTCCAGGTACTCTGTGAGCCATTTTCTTAGATTCTTCTTCCAGGATTGACTGTCTTGCCTTACCAATGTAGAGGAGACTTTCATATATATGTATGTATGTATGTATGTATGTATGTGTGTGTGTGTGTGTGTGTGTGTATTTATATGATATATATCGGCCCAGGTATTACATCTCTAAAACATGCACCAATAGCAAAGTCTGTCTTGATCTCTTCTTGGCCTTTTGACTAAGATCAAGTGTACCAAAGACTATCTTGAATTTATCCAGAACTTTGGTATCAGGCATATGGTCAAAGGATACATCTGAAATCTTACATGTGAAAATAATCAGATGCCTCTGAAACCACCAAATATTTGCAGATAATTAGTTCTATTGAAATGTAAAGGAAGAAAAAAAGGGGAAAATGCTGTGAACCTAATACTTTATTATTTTGACAGCAATTTTTATTTCTCAAGGAAATTATAAAAGAGCTTTTTTGATTATTCCACAGCTCAGAAACAACCTGAATCCGTTTTAGTAATGTAGTCATAATGAAACCCAAGTAGTTTGTTAATAGTTCTTTGAGAGAAGGTCCGTCCAAATTAGATAATTATTAAAATACCCTGTTAAAAATAATGTTTGTCCTTATAGAACTAAATTTAATTATGAATTCCACATTTCATAGTATATGTGGTTTTTAAAATGGAGAATATATGCACAGAGCTTTATGATTGTGCCCATAAAAAAATGCTTAGGAGGATAGCATGGTGTTTAGGAAAACTAAAGACAAAACTAAGTCCCAACTCTTGTTTTTTTAACTAAAAAATATATCTGTGTATAGTAAAGTAGAGGGAAGTTTTAAAAACGAAGACTTGACAGGGTGTGCCAGTTATTTTAATTTTGATTTCTCAGCCTAATGGTGAGCTACTTTTAATAATTGTTTTTTAAAAACTCACTTAAAAAAAAAACCTGTTTATGTTTTAATCCAGTAATAGTCCTTATAGCAAGCTACCTAATGGAAACAATTGAAAATAGACTCTATTACAGCATTATTTAGAATTGTACCATATTTAAAACTATTTAAAATATCTAACAATAGAGTGTTAAATTAAGTAAATGATGGTACAGTCATAGGATAGAATGTAATATTGTTACTAAAATGGTAACTACAGTGGTTCTGATAATGTGGCAAGATGTTCATGATATAATCTTAAGTGGAAAATTGATTTAAAGTTTTATGAATTCATGATACCATCTACCTGTTTTTTAAACTTTATGGAAAAAAACCCTGCATGTCTGTACAAAATAAAAAACACAAAAGTGATTGCATGCCTTCTGTCTAGTGTTTACTAGGTAGTTTTAAATTACTACAGAATGCAGTTGTTAAAATGTGGTTCAAATCTCAGTTATTCATATGCTCTATTATTTTTCGTATTCGTTTCATTGACATAGGCCTGAACTTTTTCGATTAAGAGTTCTTGAGTTAAATGCATCCGATGAACGTGGAATACAAGTAGTTAGAGAAAAAGTGAAGAATTTTGCTCAATTAACTGTGTCAGGAAGTCGTTCAGAGTAAGTAAAGCTCACTTTTCCTTCTTCATACCATGTCATTGCATTTGTTTAAAATACATGCTTCTGCCAAATGTCCAACTCTTTTTTTTTTTTTTTTTTTTAAGATTTTATTTATTTATTTGACAGACAGAGATCACAAGTAGGTAGAGAAGCAGACAGAGAGAGGGGGGAAGCAGGCTCTCCACAGAGCAGAGAGCCCGATGTGGGGCTCAATCCCAGGACCCTGGGATCACGACCTGAGCCAAAGGCAGAGGCCTTAACCCACTGAGCCACCCAGGCACCCCTGTCCAACTCCTTTTTTATTTTAGAGCATATGGGTTTTTTTATTCTATTTTTTTAGTAATCTCTACAAGCAACATGGGACTCAAACTTACAACCCCAAGATTAAGAATTTCATGCTCTACTGAGCCAGCCAGGCACCCCTTTATCTAAATTATTAAAACTCAGAAATGACCTTTCCATTATAATACCTAGTTTTAAATTGTTTAGGTATCAAGTGTTTTGAACTTACGTTTTTGTCTAAGGAGTATTTATTAATCAGATTTGGTAGTTTGGTGGTACGCTGCTAGTAAAAAAATCCTGATTTTTGTTATTGTGTTATAAAAAAAAGTTCTGTTAGATATCTTAAGCTTCAGTATATACTTCCTAATTAGGGTGACCATGTAAGTTATTGTACTAACTGGGACACTTTTAGATTAAAAGAGGAAGTATTACTAATAATTTAAATAGGACTTCCCTGAGTTAAACAGGGATGTTCAGTCAGCTACTTATAATCCTTATGTGGCAAAGTTCTAAGATTAATTTTTTGGAACCTGGCATATATTTAAATTCTTATTGGAGCACACTTTAGAATTTGTAGAAGGTGAATGACTGATTTTTGATTATCTACCTTGGATTGACAATGCATATATATCCTATATTTGATAAGGGACTTCCATCGAGAGTATATAAAGAACTCATCCATTTTAATAATCAAGAGAAAAATCCAATTTAAAAGGCAAAGGAATTGAGTAGACATTATACCAAAGAAGATATAGTGGTCCCCCTTTAGCTATGATTTTAGTCAGTTTCCATGGGTTCAGTTGCCTACACTCAGCTGAAGGCCAGAGCAAATGATTCACCTTCTGACATAATCATCAGGTCATTAATAGTAGACTAACATCACAGTGCCTGTGTCATATATCACTTTGTCTCATCACATAGGCATTTTACCATCTCACATCACAAGAAGGGGGGAGTATAGTCCAATAAGATATTCTGAGAGACTGCAGTTGCATAACTTTTATTATACTATATTGTTAAAATTGTTCTGTTTCATTATTATTGTTGTTAATCTCTTACTGTGCCTGATTTATAAACTGAACTTTTTCATAGGTATGTGTGTAGAGGAAAAACATGGCCTATATATTTATATACTGTTCGATACCATCCAGGGCTTCAGGCATCTGCTGGGGTCTTGGAACACATTTCCTGTGGAATGTGTTCTATACAAAAGGCTCATAAAGCTCCATTAGCCATGGAGTAATGCAAATCAAAACCATGATGAGATACGACTTTATGCATACTAGGATGGCTCTTAGCAAAAAGACAACATCCTGGCAAGAATGTAGAGAAATTGGAACCCTTATACTTCGCTGGTTGGAATGTAAAATGGTACAGACATTTTGAAAATAGTTTGGCAGGTCCTCTAAAAGTTAAACATAGCCTAGGTGTATACCCACAAGAAATGAAACCATAGGTCTACTCAAAACATGTTAAAAAATGTTCATTGCAGTGTTAGTCATAGTAGTCAAAACATGTAAACCACCCAACTATCCATCAACCTATGAATGAATGAATGAAATGTGGTATATCGTTTTGCCATATTATTTAGCAATGAAAAGGAATGAAGTAATGATATACTACCACATAGATGAACCTTGAAAGCATGCTAAGTGAAAGAAGCCAATCACAAAATACAACTTATTAATCCATTTATATGCAGTGTGCAGAACAGGCAGATCTGTGGAAACATAATGTAGAGATCCATGATTGCCTACAGCTGGGAGAATTGGAAGGCGTGATGGGCATGGGGTTTCTTTTTGGGACAATGAGAGTGTTCTAAAATTAGATTTTGGTGATGATATATGAATTATAACTCTTGTTTCTCTGAATCAGTGGGAAGCCATGTCCTCCTTTTAAGATTGTGATTCTGGATGAGGCAGATTCTATGACCTCAGCTGCTCAGGCAGCTTTACGACGTACCATGGAGAAGGAGTCTAAAACCACGAGATTCTGTCTCATCTGTAACTATGTCAGTCGGTATGTATATTGCCTTAAAGATAGATGCTAGGCAGCCTTGTTTTGATAACCTTAATTAGGGAGAGGAAGAAATGGAAATAATGTTTTAAGACTATAGTAATTTCTCCTCCATCGAATCTTGATTTGTTGAAAAATATGAGTTCATTGATAAAAATGGGGAAAATCTTTAGACACTGACTTTTTTTTCCTTAATATCTTACAGAATAATTGAACCTCTGACGTCTAGATGTTCTAAATTCCGATTCAAACCACTGTCAGATAAAATTCAGCAGCAGCGATTACTAGACATTGCTGATAAAGAACATGTCAAAATTAGCAATGAGGTAATTACTACAAATATTATAATTATGATTCCTTTGATGAATTCATAATAGGTCCTGAAAGTATCACATGTGGTACTTTAATTTCTGATGACTTCAGGCAAAGTTAAGCTAAAAGGGCAACATTTGGAATGTCTAGGAATTATAGGTTGAACTTTATTATCAGTATTTCAGAGAGCCAGAACTAGGGCATACTTCATACACATAATGCAAATTCTCCAATAACAAATCTGCACAATGGTGAGATTTTAGTGTCCTAGCTACTGTTTCCTTAAGGAGTGAATTTGCTGATGAAATTTTGGTACAGAAAGAGGATATGTAGGCCTTATTCATTTTAACAGAATTTTACTGCAATTTGAATTGTCTTTGCTTTTTGTATTCCAGAAAATAGGATTAGAAATATGGAACATTTGTCTTTGCAAATTTCTTTTGAAGGCAAGAGATCTCTAGCCTTCCACTGGACTGATGCGGTCTCCATGAATTCTGCCATCATAGGACTGATTAACATTCCCTTAAAACTGAAAATAATTATCCCACTAGCTCTAGGCTAAAACTGTGTTTTTCCACTTTTATTAAAGTCAAAAAGTCTAACTTGACCATCCATTGCAGGTTAAAAAAATTTTTTTTTTTCTTTTCAGGGAATAGCTTATCTTGTTAAAGTGTCAGAAGGAGATTTAAGAAAAGCCATTACATTTCTTCAAAGCGCTACCCGATTAACAGGTGGAAAGGAGATCACAGAGAAGGTGATTACAGACATTGCTGGGGTAAGAACACTAGATACTCTAAAATTTTTGGTTGGGCTTGGGACTTTTAGAAAATTTTCAACTAACAGAATGTATTCAGAATGCTGATGTGCTGGTTTAATCAATTCAGGCAGCTTTAACAAAATACCATAGGCTGAGTGGCTTATAAACAAATATCCCAGTTCTGGAGGCTGGGCAGTCCAAGATCAAGATACCTGTATTGAGTATCTGGTGAGGAATAACTTCTTAGTACATAGACTCCTAGTTCAGACTCAACTGCATTCTTTCTGGCAGAAAACCTTTAAAGGGCACTAATCCCCTTCATGGGGGTTCTGTTCTCCCAACCCAACCAACTTCCCAAAGTTCTCAGTAGGGATTTTTAACATGAATCTTGAGGGCATTTAGTTTATAGCATGTGCCAAGTACTATGCTAGAAACAGTGTAATAAGGAAATAACCTGGAAGCAATGCAACACTTCAGGAACATGGCAGTTGAGATTTAATGGATATTCCTGTTCTTCGAAATCTGACCAAGGGTCATATATAAAGGGGCAGTATCCCATTTAGAGAAATCGCTTATGTCAGGGTTCAGCTCTACTACTAGTAGGATCCCTACTACTTTTTCAAGACTTAGTTCCTTAGGTATTTTTCATACCATCATGAAATTGATAGCATTAGTCCCCTTTACCTTCTGGGTATTATGGACTTTCTAAAAGCAATCTTGTTAGTGGCATCTTTACTAGGAAAGGGGGCACTTCCCTTAATTCCCTTTTTAAGCTAGTAAACAGATGTTAGCCACTGCTAAGGAAGTTAGAACCACTTGGGTGCGAACCATCGGCCACAGTTTTTAGCTGCTCACCCACTGACCAGATTAGCTATTCTTGTTCCATCATGGTCCCAAACTTGAAACTCATCAGAAGCAAAGAAAATTCTGTATATATCACAGAGACATTAATTTCTTAAAATCAAAATGCATCACTATTACATGGTAGTGACTAAAGATGGTCTGAATCAGGATTAAAAGGTTACAGCTACCTGGAGAGCTTATTTCAATAGCTTCCTGGAGCTCATGACAGGAGCATGAGGCTCTTCCAAAGTTCTCATCCTTTGCCTTCCCAAACTTTAGGTAATACCAGCGGAGACAATTGATGGAATATTTGCTGCGTGTCAGAGTGGCTCATTTGACAAACTAGAAGCTGTGGTAAAAGTCAGTCACTTTACTGGTTAACTTTGGGGAAGGGAAAAAAAGTAAATGAGCATACCAAATTCAACTCTCTTGCAGGACTTAATTGATGAGGGTCATGCAGCAACTCAGCTTGTAAATCAATTTCACGATGTGGTGGTAGAAAATGATAACCTTTCTGATAAACAGAAATCCATTATCACAGAAAAACTTGCCGTAAGTAGACACTTCTGCACATTTCAGCAAAATGTGTTAAACACAACCCAAAGGGAGATTTTCCTAACTTTTTAATTTTCTTACAGGAAGTAGACAAATGCTTAGCAGATGGTGCTGATGAACATCTACAATTGATCAGCCTCTGTGCGACAGTGATGCAGCAGTTAACTCAGAATTGCTGAAGTGATTTTTCTAAGATTTCAGTTTTTAAAGTATGATCTGATAAAAATAAAAATGACCAAAGCACCTTTAAAGTGAATATACAATTTATTTAACATTCAAACTTCATTAAGACATGTGCAATATGGCAATTTTACTGGGGGTTTAACCCTACCTAGGATATGATTGCTTGCTGGGGCTTAGCAACAGGGTCCAGTTCACACTTAGCACTAATTAAATACTTTATTGAATAAATACAATACCAAACAAAATGCATTCAAATGCTTTCTAAAAAAAAAAAAAAAAATCAATTTTAAAGGCCTTTCTCTTCAGGCTAATGACAAACACAATAAAGGCAGATATGCTAGTTTAACATAATTGGCTGATTTTATACAGCACTTATATCTTTTAGTCCACAAGTATATTATTAAATGATAGAGAACATCTAATACAACCATTTCTACAGAACTAGGAAATAAATTTCTAAGAAAGAAAGATTTTACAGACCCCATCTTTTATACCCAACCCCAACAGTCTAACTCTAAAGAGGATAAAGCCAATGCCTCTCCTCACAAGAGCTCACGACTAACGTCGCTTTGCTATCAAAATCTGTATTTCTGATCCGTTATGAGCATTGAGACAAGATTCAAATATTCCCAAAGAAAGAAGCACAATGCACGTTGTGATCGCCTATTCAGCAACAGCGAGCACTGCATTCAAAACTATCTCATCCCAGGAATTAAATAAGGTCAGCCACATTCATGGGCATTTCCTCCACTGTAGTATTGTAGAAAGTCTCAATGTCACGAAGAATCCTCTTGTCTTCTTCAGTAACAAAGTTTATAGCCACACCTTTCCTCCCAAATCGACCCCCTCTGCCAATTCTGTGTAAGAAAAAGAAATCAGAGCAGTTAGAATGTTACTCCTCACATATGGATGAACTATTGAACATGATGATCCACTTGTTAACCATCAGCTGCGGTTTACTTAGTAAGGGTTATAGTTCGTGCTTCTAATTGGAGCGCACTAGCTGCTAATCAATATCTAGAGAAAAAAATCTTCCTTTGCAGTTAGTGCCAAAAGGATTCAAGGCTTGTCTGGCTGCAAAATGAGATTTTATCAGGTGTCTTGAGCATTACTTTTAAAGCAGATGACAGTATTGTGTTTGGGGTCGTGAAATTAAAGCCCATACCAAAGTGGGCCAGCCAAGAGCAGATGTCAGCCTGGGACAGATGTAAACACCAGGGATAAAACAAAAAGAACAGTTATGTAATCCATTTCGACGCACCTCTGGAACTGTAAACTGTAAATACAAATGCTGCAAGGTTAACTATTGTCTAAAACTTACTTTTTCCAGTGGGACAACAAGTATTTGGTATGGTAACCCAAACTTATCACTGCTTTTTTGCTCAGTTTCACACGTTGTAACTCAAAATTACTCAAAACGTGTTTACCTCCAAACAGCTTTCTACCTTCCTGATAGAAACCAGACAACACAAACCACCTAACATACATACAAAAATGCCTTGGCTGGAGCAACTTAAAAATATCAAATAATCATGACAAAAGAAAAACAAATATAAATACCGACTCGCTCTTTATTCAAACAGTGTGCTGTTTCGCTTATGATTCCACGTCCTAAATTACGTCAACGCCGTTTCTGAGCGCCATCTCGTCATCAACTGCTGCTATCGACTCCTGTATTTTTTAAAAAGTCTTTTTTTACATCATATAACAAAGTACAGTTCAATTTACTTAGGGATAAAGCCACTATAACTAAACCAGGGACTGCTCAAATTGCTACCAGACAACACCAAGAAAATCCCAACTACAGAGGAATCACCAAGAAAGCACATGGACACAAGAACTTCACTAAAAACTCAAAAGTAAGCTAAGACCAACAGATCTAAACAACCTGATCTGTATGTAGTTAAGTCCACAATTTGGGTAACATTTACAAGTGTTTTCCCACTGCAGATGACCAATCTTCCCAAATACCATTTTAGTTCTACCTTACCTAGTTAAATCTTTTTGCTTCCCTGATACGAAGTTACCTTTCAAACAAATCAGTCCATAGAAAAACCACACATGAATTCATTTTACCAATATAGTAACAACCAAAATGCCACCTACTCACCTGTGAATATAGTTTTCACGATTGGTAGGTAGATCATAGTTTATAACCAATGACACTTGTTGCACATCAATCCCACGAGCCTGAAACACAATGGTATGGTGTTCAAATTCTAATTTAAACTAGATAGCTATGTAATGTAGGCCACAAAATAGTAGTGAACTATATTTAGTGGTATAGCCCACTGTGGAGTGTGGTCTTTTCTTTTCTCTCCCAAAGAGCCCAAGCTGGTAAAGGTTATCAAAAAACCTTCCCCCCAAAACAAACTTTTGGTAGGCTGAAAAGAATAGTTAAGAGACTTACCAACAAATCAGTAGTGATCAAAACACGGCTTGACCCTGATCTGAATTCCCTCATGATAACATCTCTTTCCTTCTGGTCCATGTCACCATGCTGCAAATGAACAAACCTTAAATCAAGAATCACCAGCCAAATCAACTATTTGATTTTTACTGACATGTATGAGACCAAGCGTCCCTGGCTGCTACAGAGGTATAGCAGACAGGTATAGTTAAGAAACAACTTTATTTTGAGCAGGGGGAACGACAACACAGCACTTAACAGCTATATTGTAGTCTATATCCTGCTTTAATGAAAATACAATTATCACTACCAGAACACCTCTTACCAGAGCAGAAACTGTGAAGTCCCTGGCATGCATTTTCTCAGTGAGCCAGTCCACCTTGCGCCTTGTATTGAGAAAAATAACAGCCTGAGTAATCGTCAGTGTCTCGTACAAGTCACAAAGAGTATCCAACTTCCATTCCTATAATTTTTCAAAGTTAACAGTTATTAAAATCTAGCTTCCAACCCATGTAAATTAGAAATTCATTCTGTTAGGCCTATCCCAAGACATATTGCACCAAATCTTAAGACTAAGGACACTGGACATTAAGAAAGAGGTCCACCCCAGTCTTTACAATCTAGTGCAGTTACTTTTCTTCTTGTGTGTACTCTGCTAGCATTATTACAAAAACTAAGACAATCCTAGTTTCTGCAATTTTAGCACAGTGCTTATACAAGAAGGTTAAAGAATAAACTACATGTTAATGTTTAGTAATTAGATAAATTACCTCTCTTTCAACATTAATGTAAAACTGTTTGATTCCTTCAAGGGTCAATTCTTCCTTTTTCACCAGAATTCGAATTGGATCTCTCATAAATTTTTTGGTCACTTCCAATACATCAGTTGGCATTGTGGCAGAAAGCAACACAACCTTAAAAAAAACAATGATTATATTGTCACACAGAGAGCACAACTTTAAAATACTCACACTGTTTGAGACCCAGTGTTTTTGCCTTGCTATGAAATCATGTAGTTATTATGCACCAACTGCTTTAAGCAGGGGGAGGAAAAATACATCAGGTGTACTGTATGTAACCTGCATTAAACCTAAGCCCCAACCTACTATAGGACAGAGTAAAATTAAAGCTCACCTGAATACTTGTATTTAATTTTTGGAAAATCTCATAGATTTGATCCTTAAACCCTCGGCTCAACATTTCATCTGCTTCATCCAAAACAAACATTTTGATCCATTTTGGAGCTGACAAAGAAAGCCATACATACTATCAGCTCTAGATGCGCAGGGACACTAAGTTTTCAATTTCTAGTAATACAAACAAATTATACTCTCAATGAACAATACTTACAAAGGTATCTTCTGTTTAACATATCAAATACTCTCCCTGGTGTACCAACAACAATGTGTGGTGCTTCAGCCTGCAGTTTTTGCATTTCATTCCGAACATTGGTTCCACCAATGCAGGCATGACAAGTTGCTCCCATATAGTCGCCAAGGGCCAAAATTACCTTTTGGATCTAAAAGCCAAAACCCTTAATTATTATCCAGGAGAATTAGAGGCTGTGATTAAACTTCCAAAGCATAATGGCAAATATCTGGTCTGCAAATAGCTTCTATGCATGCACGATATTTAACTGCTTCCAAGCTTAAAATACAGACTGATCTAACTGCTTCATAATAAAATTCCCTTATCGTGTCTCTTCCTTGTGCCTTGTCAAACTTGAGATCCTGTTGCCCCAGATACCAGCTAGGTTAATTGATTTTAGTTAAATTATTTCCTACACTGCTTTTCATTGTGTAGGAAGGTAGATGTAGGTAGTGGAACTCTGCAATTACATCTAAGACAACTTGTTGATACTTTAGTTTTTCCCGAAGTACTGGACCTGATGTCCTCTTGACCTTAAAACCTAGTTTTATTAGCAAGGTTTTACTTCAAAGCCAATATAGCAGTGAGCTTTGAAAACATAGCATGCAACAGATGCATCACAAACTACTGAGACAGTCAAATGATAACATGTCACTGCAGTTTTCATGTTGCACAACTGCATTCAAACTTAAAAATGGGAACAGATCTAGTCCACCCTGAAAAGCTTTGGTTTCTCAAATCTGTCACACAACCCTGCAAACCATACCTGCACACCCAGTTCCTATTTTTAACTTTCGACAAAAACTCCCTGCATGCATGGACATTTAAAAGGAGGGCTCCTACTGACAGGACCAATTTATACTAAGTTTTAAATTCTTCACAGTTGTGAAACCTGAAACCTATGCAACACGCAAGCAGTTTTTTTGAACTACACTATCAATACCTGTTGAGCCAGTTCTCTGGTGGGGGCCAATACTAGTGCTTGGGTCTCCTTGAACTCAATCTCCAACTGTTGCAGGATGGAAATAGCAAATGTGGCTGTCTTGCCAGTACCTGACTGAGCTTGAGCAATCACATCATACCCTAAAAAAAGTAGGATACATATTTACCGATCCCACATCAAACCGCCACTTCTAGTTCACACCATGTATTCCGTTTGGAACATTAATTATGCCCAAATAATCAAGTGATCAGCAATGAGTATTCTCTTCATTTCAGGTCAGTCCCGAAAGATGATTGCCATCATTTCACTTTAAGGAATACAAACAGGTGCTAGTCCCCCAGAAGTTATTTTCCCTTTTATGGTCCAGGTCTATGTAGAACAGTTAATTCATTTTTAAAAAGTACTGACTAGTTCTTTTACCTTTAATACAAGGAATAATAGCTCTCTGTTGAATAGCTGAAGGCTTCTCAAAACCATAAGCATAGATGCCCCGAAGA